AGACACTAAACATTTCTCACCAAAGAACAGATCAAAACAATACAGAACACAACATCAAAATTGCACTAAACATTAACAAATCACAATGAGATATATCAACAACAACAAAAACCTAATTAGGTCATAAAGGAAAAAACTAATAAATAAATTCATATTCTTTGTAGGTTAATATAAAAATGTTATTCCAGTCTGCAGTTTCAATTAACTTTCACTACCTTTTTCATTTTGCAACATATCCTTGTAACTGTCTCTGAAACCAAATACCAGATAAAAACAAATCTGGTTTTCATTGCTTTACACATTCCTTGAACCTACCACCAAAGTAAAGTATTATAGTGTCATTTAGAAACTCTGATGGATGTTTTCAATATAAACGTGGTCATTTGCTGATACTGTTTATAACCATTTTAGGCACCAGCCAGTGACTCTGTTCTGCAGGAATTTGCCAACCTTCTGTCCTCTCAGCTTGGAATACTTGAGTGGTGTAAAAACAACAACCCGTAAGAATCTGCTTGTTCATTTTTGACATTTCACTGACATTAAAGTCCATCTTAATCGCTATTCTAATATTCCCTTGTGTCTTGTTTTGTTTCTATTCAGAGGTATTTCCATGGAGGCATTGCTGACACAGCTCCACACCCTGGACAATCATTCAGCTCTCTATATTCTGCATACTCTGACTCCTTTGCCTCAGTTTGAGGAGCGCAGGATACTGGATCTGCTGCAGCAGCTGCCAAATCCACCAGGACCAGGTTTACATCGCCCACTTGTTTGTGGAGACGCAGGAGTCTGAAATATTTTCAGGAACAATGTTTCATAGAAACTTTACCTCGTTCTTTTTGTTTGTCTTTTTTCTTACAGACGACACTGAGGCCATCACGACTGTCAGCCCTGGTGCACAGAGGAACATAGTTTTGTTTCAGGGGTTCTGTGCCATGAAATACGCCATCTATGCTCTTTGTGTCAACGCACATAAATACTCAAACTGCTCCGAGTGTGAGTCCACGCATCAGCAGCCCACTGAAGCAGAAACAGACCATAATCAAACCTCTTCCTCAGAGGGTATGTCTGTCCTGTCTGTGGTTTTGTATAATCAGATTAGACCAAACACACGTCATTTACATACATACATACATTGATAAATCTAAATAAATATCAGCATGAATTCATGGTTGAGACATTAATCACTTGTTATATTTTCCAGGTTTCCCTCTGCAGTTCCAGCACTACCTGTCAGAATGTCAGCTCTATCTGGAGGCCGTTCCAGCCATGTTCCGCCTGGAGCTCCTGGAGAACATCTTCTCCCTCCTCTTCCTGTCCACCGCTGACTTTATGCAGCAGATTCAAAAAGACACAAACTTGACTGCCAATCAGGAGTGTTCATCAGACACAAGAAACAATAATGTAGAATCAGGAGCCAAGGCAAAGACAGATGAGACTGATAACTGCAGGAAAGAGCACCAGCAGCCGCGTGCAAGTTCACCAACAACATCCCACCGTAGTCACCTGGACCTGGGACACTTCATCCAGGGCTGCAGGGGTTTTGTGGTGGATGTTGCAGCCATGGAGGGTTTCCTGAAGCTCCTGAAAGAAGGCCTGGAGGGCATATGTGTGGTGGGTCCGCAGGAGGGGCAGGAGGGGGGAAGAGCCCTGCCTCGAGAGGCTGAGGCGGCGGAGAGCCTTGGCTGCTCAGTGACGGCGGAGACATTCGGGGCTCGTCTGCAGAGGTTGTCCAAACGTACTGCAGAGGCTCAGTGGAGGCTGCAGATCATCACCAGCAACCAGGGCTGGGAAAAAGGTGAGATGCACAGGCTGAGGATATTTCTACGAGTGTTTTTATTCACACTTCTTCTGTGTTATGTGCATCTATTTGCAACTTGTTGGTGAATTTACTTGCAGGCTCAGAGAGCCACCTCCACATGTCAACGCCCGGCTCTGCTGAGACTTCTTTGAAACACAGTAAGAGCTCCAGTCTGAGGAGAAGGAAGAGACCAGGGAGGCGCGTTGCAGAGAGACAAACCTCCATAGAGAAACACAACGGAGAAGTTAGCACCAGTGCATCAGGTGAGCCATAAGCACTGTCTGTTGGAAATGTACATGCTCTTATGAGGATGTGTATTATTTTTGTGGGTTGACGATGAGTTAATGTGTCCTTTGGCAGACGGGGGCGGAGGGACAGTGACAGCTTGTGTAGAATTGGAGGTTTGTCCTTGCGGTGGTCCCCACAGCTGGCTGGTCCCTGCCATGTTGTCCCCTCCAGAGTCTCTGCTAATGTCCTGCATCCGCCGAGGAAACTTCATGGAAGCACGTCAGGTCTGTTCAGCGAACTGGAATTAAAAATGCTTCCAGAGTTAACTTATGCTATTTATTTTTGTGTTAATCACATTTACTAACTCTTTCCATCTCAGGTGTCTCTGGTGTTTGATCTGGGGGCATCTCCCTGTTGTGGCGAGCTGATGTTCATGGAGCGCTACAAAGAAGTTCTGGTGGAGTTGGGGCGGGTGGAGCAGAAGATGGATAACCAGCCTATGTCATCGTCATCGTCCTCCTCGGAGGGGCTGGGGTCGGCAGCTGTGTCCGGCACAGGGAGGGCTCGGCTGGGCAGCAGCGGCCGGTCGACGCTGCAGGCCATCGGAAGTGCTGCTGCTGCAGGTTCGATATTCTGTTTTCATTTTCTCCTGTGATTCATCTCACCTGGGTAACTTACTATGTTCCCTTGAATTTAAGAAAATAAAATGTATATTAAACCAACTGTTAAGGCAGGTGTTAGCTTACTTTCTTTAAACAATACTCAGAGATGAAATGTAAAGGAGTTGTTTAAAGTTATGGATTAGACATGTGGGTGAAGAGCAAGTTGCTGAGAAATAAATTAAGTCTGAGCCAGAAGAGGTTGAGCTCCTTTTTTTAAATTCCTGATGTGTATTGAATATTTGTACAAAATAATGTATCTAGAGTAGAACATTAACACGGTTATGCTGGAAGTACTATAGCGTATAAACAATATTATGATTTTTTAAGTTGGTTAGTTTTTCAGAGACAAAAATGACACAACCCAACAATATAATTTTAAAGTTCACAGTATAAGGATTGTTTACTGTTGAGTTATCATGATCTCACCCCTGTGGCTTTTATCCCTCATTGATTTATTCCATGAGGAATAATAACTCTTATGTTTTCACATTTTATTGGTGAAAAAATGTACCGTATATAGTAGATGACTCATAGATCTGTCTCTCCCTGCAGGTGTGGCTTTCTACTCCATCTCGGACATAGCAGACCGTCTCCTCAGTTCCCCCGCCCACCCGATGCCATCGCTGGAGGAAGACTACTGGCTGAGCTGCTGCTCTTCAGACCCGTCTGGCCTCCTTACCACGCTCCTGGAGGAGCTGAGCCCAGCGGCCATGGCGGCCTTCGACCTGGCCTGCTGCCACTGTCAGCTTTGGAAGACGTCCCGGCAGCTGCTGGACACAGCAGAGCGCAGGCTCAACAACAGCCTGGAGACTCGAGGTATGAAGACAGAGCTTAAAGGGTCTTTTTAATAGAAGTTTTAGGATCGTGATGATTGCTACAGAGCTGTTTAGTCTAACATTGTGATTGGAACAAGACCGGCTACAATTAAATGTGTTTTATCAGCAGCTTTGCACAGGTATTAATTTAGTTGTTCCTCTTTAATCCCTGTCTGCCTCTCCAGGAGTAAGAATTGACCCGAAAGTTCCTCATTCTGAGGGGATCTGTGGATTTCCAATGGTGTTACAACAGATCAGCAAGATCCTCAGTCACTTTGCAACAAATAAGGGCTCTGTCAAAACAGGTGAGTCCAAACACAATACTTATTAACATTAGTCAGTTTGTAAGTTAGTTTAAAGTAAGTTTGTTGTTACTGATCCACTCATTCATCCGCTCTTGTTCACAGAAGCTGTTATGGAGGACCAAGTGTTTGCCAGCCCGTTCGGCTGCTGCATTCAGGAAGTGCTCCTGTGTTGCCACCCAACCCTGATGGAGGAGAGCATCGCTGCTCGACTCAGTCTGGCTCAACGCTTGGAGACCACCCTGCACGTTCTGAGCACCGCCACAGATAATACAGGTCAGCAGGGCAACCGCATCAGCTCATATGCACTGAAGTAAACATTTTCCTATCATCAGATTTTTTTGGGCTCTGTTGTTGTGACCATTCTTTGAGAAAGTCTGAATGTCTCGTGATGTCTGATGTCACCTCTCATGACAGAGGGCATCGTGGGCAGCGCTCTTCTGGCGCTGTTAGTAGAGCAGGCCAGTCTGAAGCAGGCGGAGCTCGACGTTCACCCTGTCCGCACCAACATGAAACTGCTGCTTTGTTCCCTGGACCAGCTCTGCCCCTTTGAGCCGGATGGAGACCTCGCCAGACCAGATTATGTTCGCAGTTTCCTTGACTACGTCAACACGTTAGCATCCGTGCTGGTGCGCAGCCTCGCTTCAGAAGGTAAAATCATTTGTCACGGAAAGTAGAAGTTTTAGCAGTTTTTAGATTCTTCCGTCTTGTGCATTTGCCAGTAGCAACTTCTTACTACAGCTTTTTAATATGTCAGCATCTCAGTTAACATCTTGACACTCTCAGACCTTCTGCCTAGTGACTATACGAGGGGCCAGCATTGACTCTTTTCCTTCTTTTACCTGGTTTTGTTCTGATTTTTCTCTTCTGCTTGTTGTCTCAGACCAAAGTGGTGAAGTGAAGCTTGGGAATCCACTGCTGGTGTTGCATCAAGCCCCATTTCAGCTCCTCTCCCACCTGCTATTTGACAGACAGGTGTCTCCTGACAGGTACTTCATCCGTTTGAACAAGCACACGTGAAGGTTGTTCGTTCCCACCTGTGACTCATCGGTACCAGTGTAATAAACTAATATGTCACTCGGTTAAGCTTAATCTACCTCCCCTCAAATTCAATCAATCTGCACCAATTTTCGTATCCATCCCAAAATGTAATGTTTCCTTTCCCCATCCTTCCATTAAGTCTTTTGAAAATCGGTTCCGTAGTTTGTGCGTAATCCTACAATGAAAACCTCCTGGACAGAGGTAATGATACATTTGTGATCGACCTGGTTAGTCTATGACCGTTTACTCTGCTAACGAGAATCAGGATAGAGGTGGTGCCTCAAATTTGGGAAAATTACATCTTCCAGCTTTAACATTTGACTCCGTTTGACACATAGTCAACCACTGAGTGATGTGAGGCAGCAGCTGACCTACTTCGTGTCCTTGTTCCTCTCCAGAGTGCTGTCCCTGCTGCAGCAGGAAGGTCTGCGGCTGAGCGTCCAGCAGGTGATTGTCCAGCGATGCTGTGAGACTTTGCCCTTGTGGTTCTCTCGTCCAGCTGCTGAAACAGACTCTGATCAAACCAAAAAAGATGATGGAGTGTTCAGCGTGGCCAGCTTGTCTGCCCTGCTCCAGCAGCATGCTCAGGAGCACAAGACAACTCTGGGAATCACAGAAACTCCTTCAGGCACTCACTCAGATGCAAGCTCAGACTCTGAGGCCTCGGTGGAAGACCACTCTGCTACACCAACCAACCTCTCCACCTCACCTCCCTCTCAGTCATCCTCCTCCTCCTCCTCCTCTTCCTCCTCTTCTTCATCAAACTCATTTCTCCTCACACCATCGGCCCTATCTTTCCTAAAGTCTCGCTCCCCCTTACTGGCCACGCTGGCGTGTCTGAGTGCATGTAAAGGAGAAAACCCTCGGACACAATCCTCCAGTTGGTCGGGATATTTTCGCAGCGGACGCAAGGAGGCCGTCCTGGATGGCGAGCAGATTTCTCGTGAAGCGGATACTCTCCTGAAAAATTTCCCTATTCTCTGGGCCTATCTTTACTCCATGGCTGAACCAGTGCTGGGCGCCCTGTTGACTGAGGGAGAGGGAGGCTCTGCTGGACTCGGGGCGACGATCTGTGGGAAACCTCTCGTCACTCTCCTGCTGTCTGGGCCACAGGAAGAAGTCACCCAGGCTGTGGCAGCTGAGGCCTTCCAGAAAGCTCTTTCCTCCAAAGACCTGCCCCGAGCTCTCAGCCTGCTGGAGCTGTATGGGCAAGGTTGCAGCCAGGAGGGGGCGCTAAGAGACCAGCTACTTTCTTATGCTGCTTTAGAGGGTGAGGAATGCTGGGAAATCTAATCTAAATTATTTATATTGGAAAAAAATAGGAAACATTTTCTTCTCAACATTTCAGGTTCTGTTAATAAAATTATTATTGAACAAATAGATGATTTATTTGTTTAGTCTTATAAATGTATTTTTGATCTTGAATTTATCATTACGTTCTCTTGAGATAAACAGATCTCGAGCAAAATGGCATCACAAGAATGGTACAGGAAAATACTAAAATGAAATGTTTGTCGACCTCATTGTGTTCAGATGAGGTTGAAGGTACGGGTCAGCTGTTCCGCGTGCAGGATGCGAACCTGCGAGCCCGTGTTGCCCTCCAGGCTCTGGAGCGATGGCCTCTGTCGTCCTGCCTGGAGCTGCTCGACTTCTGCCTCAGTGACCTGAACACCGTGGCCTCGCTGAGAACGGACTTGGAGCTGAAGAAGAAAGAACTGGACATCTACCGCTTGGTACAGTGTTTATCACAGAAACAGATTCTTTTCTTAGGCAGTGGTGGGATTTTTCCCTGTGCTACAGTACATAACAAGTCACACTAAAGCAAACATTATCAGCTTGTGTTAAGCTCGAGTAAAGTACATCTCTTTCATGCTTGTAATTTTTTAGTGTCAGCAGTATCTGTATTGCCCCTTGGGAAAGTTTTAATTTGACTTCAGCTTGCAGTTTTCATGTCTTACGTAACTATGTCCTATGTTGGCATGGTTTTACCTTCCATTCCTCAGTTACATAATCTGACTTTCCATTGTGCCAAGTTTCTGTGCTTCCTTGTCTTCTCATAGATGTTGAATTTACAACCTCGGTTGCCCTGGGCTACGTGGCAGGAGCTGAGGACTGAGTCGAAGACAAACCCTGAGTCCATGTTGTCCCGAATGCTGAAGGCAAAAGTAGGCACAACCTGCAGCAGTGTAGTTAAAACTACCACAATTTAACACGTACCGCAATCTCCAAAATACATGTTTATTTATGTAATAACAATTCACATGTTTTTGCAGGAGTTTGCTCTGTGTGCACAGTGGGTGGAGCTGTATCCTGTGTCCGAGCAGCTGAGACTGCAGCTGAACACTGAGCACCTGCTTCATCTGCTGGAGAAGGGACAGAGTGACGAAGCTTTTCAGGTACAAGTACACAATCGTAAATGTGTTTCAGGAAACTTAGCAAATACTAGCTTCTAACTCTATGCTACATTTGAACATTCACTTTCTTATACTTGTGAAACATATACTTGTAAATGTGCCTCACCATATTCAGAGGAACATTATAATAGAACGAATATACATTTATACAGTCTTCTGTTCACAGTTTACAGTGCGACTGGTTTCTTTTATTTAAGTCCAACGTTTCTCCACACAAAACTCAAACTGTAGGTGTTTTAAGTCCAGAAACTTTGGCTCAACTCTTTTATCAGCTATCTCTTTATGTCTGCATTCCTTGTGTCTTCAGTTACTCGAGGGCCTCTCTGATTTCCTGGTCGGCCTGGAGATTTGTGAGCGCGCTCTGGACCGCTGCCCCGGCCTGGCTGCCTGTCACTTCCTGGCTGACTATCTCACCCTGCATTTTCAGAGGCAGGTGTCTCCATCGCGACGACAACACATCCACGCTCTTCATCTGGGCTCTAAGGTTTGTGAATGTGAACATGTGCACTGATAAAATTGTCCTGTAGGATACGGACAGGAACTGTAGTTTGTGCTCATACGTCCCATTATTTTTGTTTTCAGTAACTGGAATTTCACTTGACATCATCATCTGTCAGGGTTCAAAAACATTTAACACTCAGCGTTAAGTCTTAATTGTTTTACTTTTTTATTTCAAAGGTTTATCAGCTGGACGCTGTAAATATGTTATTATAACTGAATTGCTTGTTTCCTCCTCTAGGTGTTACTGACTCTGCCCCCTGCAGCCAGGCACGACTATTTCCCCCTGCTGTCCGAGCCTCTGCTGATGCTGGAGCAGCTCCTGATGAACCTGAAGGTGGACTGGGCAGACATGGCAGTGAGAACCCTGCGGAGCCTCCTGGTTGGTCAGGAGGCGGGCTTCGGTGCCGAAGACATCGATAAGCTCCTGGCGGACTACGCCTCCAAGGCCCTCGACTTCTCCTGCGCCCCCAGAGAGCGGACCAGATCCGGTCAGAGCACAACACACAATGACGTGTGCACTCGCATTACAGTTTTTCTGCTTTAAATATATGTATATATCTACAATGAAATATATATTTATATTTTCCAGACTCTGTGATCAGCCTCCAGGACTCGCTGATGCAGTGTCCTGCTCAAGACAGCTGCTCCTTATCGTCCAGTCAAATCGAATCTCCAACGCCCTCCACAAGTGAGACAGTTTCTCATGTTTAACCGTGATGAAATAATTATGAGATGCTCTCAAGGGAATGTCCTTATATGCTATCAGCCACAATAGCTCTGCTGTAGTTGATATGCACCTGCCTCAAAGACACGTTGGTTAACGAATCTGATTTTTCCCCAGTTGAGGGACATTTTCTCAAAGCACAGTGAACATTTGCAGATTAATTGATAATCTTAAACAGATTCAGATAATGTTCTTATGTATCTGCTGTAAAAATCAATGTCAGTTGTACTAGTGTTGATTTGGGTTTCTAGTTTAAACAGCGCGTTCTTAATATTTCATCACAGGCAGCACTCCTACGCACAACTCCTCCTCGAACAGCACGGACAAGGAGAGGGATCGAAGCTCAGCAGGGAGGAAACGTCGCTCGCCTGCCAAGTTCCAGCCTCCGGACCAACCCCCCGGCCGTAAAGACTGGGTCCCTGACATCCAACAGCATGTGTGCATGGTCTGCCTCCGAGAGAGGTTCACCATGGTGAGTGGGTCAAACACTGTGAGACTCACTGGCGTTGTCATAAATTAAAAAGACGTACTTGCTGCTTGTTGCCCTGCGTAGTTATAAATAATGTATTTGATTACACAACCATTTCCATAGACAAGATTTGTTTCCTATTCAGGCCACTGTGCAAAATTGAAAGAGTTCATTTATCTTTTAGTTCCACTTAAATCAACGACACTGAATTGTACCAGTTTTGTATTTACATCTTTTTTGTGAGCATGAGGAGGCTGACTGCATGGATCATATTGAACCGCTAAATTCAAATTGAGAGATGAATGTGAAGAAAATGAAAGTAACATCGTTGCTCATTTTAAAAGAACAACGGAGGAAAAGAATAGGATCCAACATTAATCTTTTCTCTCGTTGTAATCGTCTTTTAATTTTTTTCCCCCACTATCTAGTTCAACAGGCGGCATCATTGTCGGAGATGTGGCCGTCTGGTTTGTCACGCGTGTTCTGAGCGTAAGATGCTTGTAGAGGGATGTCCAGGAGAAGAAGTCAGAGTCTGTGACCAGTGCTACACCTACTTTCACCCAGAGTAAGATCCTGTAGAAATCACTTTGAGCAGTTCAGTTATTGACGAAAGAATTTTAATGTAATAAGATTTTAGTTTCTGTGATCGAGAAATGACAAATGTTTGACCTTCAGAGCGTTTGACAGGGACATGCTGTGTTTGAAAACAGAGTTTACACCACATTCAAACACATGACGAGTTGTTCCTTATTTTAGAAAATCATGGGATCTTACCACAGGAGCAAATGTTGAACTTTGTAACTTAACGCTGCAGTGAAGGGTTTGGATACATGTTTAAAACAGAAATGTGCTTGTGATTTAAAATTTGCCTCTTTTTTTTTTTTCATTTGTAGATCTGATGATGAGCTGGAACCAGCTGAAGGTACGAGTACAACACCAGACCATTCTGCTTTATATGTTCTAAACCTTCTCTTTGCTGCATTAGAGAAAGAAAACAGCATTTTTGTAGAATGTAGAATTTATCTTGTATAACGTGTATAAATGCAAAAACATTTCCAGATCAGTAAATCAAAGCGGTCATGATGTTGAACCCCTCTCTGTGCAGTGGCTGGTTGCCCCGTGGTGACAGAGGAAGCCTTAGATGGGATGATGCATCTGCCCGAAGTGATCCAGCAACAGATCCAACTCAGCACAAACCCTGCAGAGAACCAGCTGCTGCGGAGCGAGTTCTACTACGAACAGGTCTGGATCTGAACATTTACCACGACACAGCGTGAATATGACTGAGCTGTGTGCAGGTTACATCTACACATTTTCTGCTTGTTTGCATTGAGAGCAACCGAATTAAAGCTGAATGATCCAGAACAGTAGTTTTGTCTTAAACTGTAAATGTATCCCTGGGTTTGGTGCAACAAGCATCAAGGCTAACGTTATTCCATCGTTACTTTATTCAACCTCCTGTGGAATTAGATTACATGAAGATTAACGATGTTCTTTTGCTACAACCCCCCAGGCTCCCAGTGCATACCTCTGCGTGGCCATATTGTCTCTGCACAGTGACCAAACAGCGTGTGGACACCAGCTCATCGTCCACTGCCGCTCTCTGTCCTGTAAGCTGACCAACCAGGAGGTGGACGCCTGCCTCCTCACCGACATCATGCGGCAGCTGCTCTTCAGCGCCAAGCTGATGTTTGTCAAGGTCGGCCGCAGCCAGGATCTCGCCTTGTGTGACAGGTGAGATGTAGCGTGAGGTGGAATTGATGTAGATCTCTTAATACACCATCAGGAGAGTGAGGGAGCTGTTGTAAAGACATACCCACTGAAATATTATTATTATTCTGAAAACAGCAGCTTGGATTGTTCACTGAGTTGGAATAAGGAGAATGTCTCCTCCTTTTGTTTGTCTAATAAAAAAAGTGATTCATGCAGCGGAGGTTGTCGTCTCTTATCTAATCATATGATTCTCTGCAACAACATTAGGAAATTTAGAAAGGTCAGATGAGTTGTCTGCCACAGGAAGTAGAAGTTGAAATCCCCTTCAACAGATCTAAACTTCCATGTTCCTGTGTGTCACTATAACTCCTTCTTCTGTTTGTCTCACACACTGTTTTTCCCACGGTCTCTCTTTTGTCCGCAGTTACATCAGTAAAGTCGACGTGCTTAAGATTCTCGTGGCGGCCAATTACAAATACGTTCCTTCTCTGGATGACATTTTGGAGATGTCTGCTGTCACACGTCTTCGTAATCAGCTGCTGGAGGCCGAGCACTACCAGCTAGCAGTGGAGGTGATGCTCATGGTGCTTTATTTATCACATGTATTTGTCTGGGACCCTGCACAAAAGTCTGCATTCATACACAGTATCTACCGTCCAACTGAAGAAAACCATTGTCAGGCAGTTTATTAATCCACCAAACCTAAATTAGATAAATGTTATATCCCAGAAAACTAAACTCTATGGCTGCTTTCGATAGGTGTCTACGAAGAGCGGCCTGGACCCTGGTGGCGTGTGGCAGGCATGGGGGATGGCCTCTCTGAAGGCAGGAAACCTCTCAGGGGCGAGGGAGAAGTTTTCCCGTTGCCTGAAAGCTCCAGTGGACAGAAACCAGCTCAGCATGGGTCCTTTGCTGCTGCAGGAGATCGTCCAGCACCTGGAGACCATTGGACGATCCACTGTGGCCACGGTAGGATGACGCTGTCACTGTGGTGTTGTTGTCGTCTAACGGTTACTGCTGCAGTAGATGGCATGTGGCTGTTTGAGGCTGGGGTCAATGATCCATGGTTAGACAACGTGACTGTGCATCACAACAATTAGAACTTATATGTATATATGCATAGTATATGATTTTCAATATGACAAAAGGAAAAAAAACTTATATCTGTGAATATTTATTATAATGTTTTCAGGTCATGATATTCTGGCTATGTAGTTATGTAATGACGCATATTGGTCACAGTCTGGAGCTACTTCACCCTCCTGGCCCGTGATACATGAAACCTTAGGAATCTCCCACCACGTATGGTTCGGTGCCAGGGGGAAGATTCTATCATTTAATATCTTCACCTCCATGTGGAGAAGATATTTAATTATCTGTGGTTTGTGTTGACCTCGATTCATGTGGGTGTGTCCAGTGAGGGAGCTGAGTTTGTCTGGCTCTGAATTTGTTTGTGGTCAGTGACACCTGTTCTGTCTTGCTCCAGTTATCGTGTACTTCGAATGAAAACACCACCTCAGTTTCCATCACAGCGTCATTTCACCATCCTTTCTGTTTGTCCCTGCGTCAGTCGTCTGGCGAGGACATCTTGGCTTCGCTGCAGGAGCTGGAGGACACTCTGAGCGACACGGGTCCTGTTGAGCGACCAGAGGGACAAACGCAGAGCAGCGACCTCAACCAGGAGTGTCTGTACTACCTGAACACATATGGCACTCATCTGGCTCTCATCAGCTTCTGGGTGCGTCATGACTCCATGACAGAGGCTCTGACGTACCTGCTCAACAAGGTAAGACATCGATCACTGACCTCAGACCTCCTGAACCTTGTGTATTTCACAAGGTGTATTAAAGCTGGTGTGCAGAGTGTTTCTGTTAGATTCAAGCGATAAACAAACAAGTAAATACAATGTTAGATGTTACCCGTGGCCCAGGTGCCAACTGGATGGGTTTAATGCAGAGAACAATTTCATGTATGGATGTAAAAGTGTTAACGTGACAATAAAAGTAATTCTTCTTCTTCTTCTTTTTCTACCTTGAGATTTATATCTGGCATCTGTGGCACAGTCCTGTGTTGTTGCACTGGTAGCAATGCCTGTTACATCAGTCAGCAATGATTGGTTTACCAGAGCTAAAAATGGGAGCATTCATTACGACAGAAAGTCTGGCAGAGTCATCTAGGCTGTAGCGCCAACCTCCATGACGAGTTTCTGATGGCGAGGTCAAAAGTCATAATCACAGTGTTTGTGTAATTACTTTTAATGCCAGAAAAGTTCTGCCCTGCTTGTTTCAAGTCGTTGTTTAAATGAATGCACCCAAAAAGAAGCTGACGTGTGTTGTTCTGCTTCGTCGTGGCTCAGGATTGCCCAGAGGAGGTGTTTCTAGAGGGTGTGTTGCAGCCCAGCCTGGAGCGGGGGCGCCTTGGCACACTGCAGGGGATACTAGAGAAACTGGACCCAGGCCTGGAGACATGCAGCCGCTACCTCATCGCCTCCTGCCAGTTCCTGCAGCGGCGGGGATACTTTAACACTCTCTACCAGCTCCAACAGTTCATGATGGTTAAGAGTCGTTTCATGTTGTTTCTCTTTTTTCACATTTTCTTTTTTATTAGCACTTTAGACTTTAATTAGCCTTTGAAAGTAAAATCATCATTAAATCATTAAATCTCTAAATAGTGTCAAGACAGGCAGGCTCTTATATCTCTTAGTGGCTTAATGGGTATGGTAATGGTTTTCTGTTTCTAACCCTAACTTTACCATTTTACTAATATGTAAAATATTCTGTGTGTGGACAGGATCATGTACGTGCAGCCATGACCTGTATCCGATTCTTCACACATGGAGCCAGTTCATACCTTCAGCTGGGAGAACAGCAGGTATGTCTCTTTTATCGCAGCCGGCAACGTTTTTAACAAATGATTCCTGCTTGTTTGAGGACGTGTATCTGCCTCTGACCTGTTACAGCGCTGGTTGGTCAGAGCCAAAGAGCACCTGAGGGCGTATCTTCAGGAACAGCAAGGTCGGGGCGCTGGGAGGAGAAAATCTCAGGTCAACTCATTTAGGAAGATGATGTCGTCCAGTGACGTGTCCAGGTTATTTCATATATCTTTATTTCAGTGTCACAGGATTTGAATAAATCTGTGCTTTTGCCTTTTTCATCAGAACTGACTGGGAGTTTTATTTATTATTTGGCTCATACATGTACGCTACCTGTCAAATAGACTTTACGTGTGGACCTCTGCTGTCTCTCAGGCACATGAACACAATTGAGCTCCAGCTGGAAGTGACCAGATTCCTCCATCGCTGTGAGACTGCTGCTTCCTCCAAGACGCCACAGACCAGTACACCTACCTCCAAGTCCTCTGCATCCGGTTCACCACCCACACTGTTTGGAGGAAGTCCAGTGAAGGTTGAGGTCGCCTGTAAGGTGAGGTTTCACCCGTGATACTGACGGACTTTGTTCTTAGGATAAAACCCTGAATTAGAGATCAACAAATGAATGAATGTTGAAAGAAGATGTGACAGAGAAACTTCAGTTTTATCACATTTTACCTTTTTTTTTTTTCTATTTATTTAGAAAACTTTTGCGTCTAATCCAGTAATATCCCTTTAATTGCAGGTCATGCTCGGAGGAAAAAACATAGAGGAGGGGTTTGGCATTGCTTACAGAGTCATACAGGTATGTTCATACAAGAGTCAGTATTTTTTCTGATTTCAAACTGGACTTCTTTCATCTGAAGGAGAAAATAAAAGCGATTTTTGACTGTGACCTTGAATAATGTTTACTCCCAAAGTTAAACTTAATGAAAGGAGAAATATTCTGCTCAAAGATCAGATACAATGAATGTATAAAGCCGAGTCTATTTTATTTGTGATGAATGATTTATGTTCTCTCTCTGTTTCTTACTCCCTCAGGATTTCCAGCTGGAGGCGCAGGCCGTCTACACGCGTGCCGGTCAGAGGCTCGTCAGACAGCGGCAGTATGGAGCCGTGCGGCAGCTGTTCAAATGTGTCAGCGAATCAGGCACTGCCACCAAAAACGACTGCGACGCCCTCATCCTCAGCTGTGTCTCCATCGCAGATAAGGGGCCGTCTGATGTGAGTGAGGACGTTAGAGAACAGATGGATACGGATGAGAGCTTGAGTAAATTATGTCACAAAGTTTGACCAGGACTTGGTTCCATGTTGTTTGTTGGTCACGGAGACGTTTGTTGTCCTTTTTGTCTGATTTCAGGCGAGAGAGCTGGAAAGTCTCATTCTAGAAACCAAGAGCACAGAGAGCAAGGTAGTGCAAAGTGTTTTATTCTCCTCGGTTTTTCAACGTGAATATTTTTCCTGACTGTGGCCATGTTTTACAATCCTATGAATCACAACGACCTTGACTCTGTTCCTCTCGTCCTTGCTCTTTATCTGTGACATCACTTTGTTCTCATGTTGTTGTTTTACTAATCTCCACAAGTCCGTGATATTTCAGCCACTGCACAACGACCTGCTGGACAAAAATATGAAATTCTCTTCGCATCTCTCGTGTGTCTGCAGATCAAAGCTTACCTGCTGTGCGGTAAACTGCGACCAGCGTACCTGCTTGCTGTCAAGCTGGAGGCGAGCCGCGCGGGCCCGTTGGTCCAGGACGTCCTTCAGGCGGCTGAGGGAGCGCAGGACTCAGTGATGCAGAATATCTGTCGCCAGTGGCTGTCTGAACATCACAGCAAGTCATCTCAGCAGCGCCAGGGCCGACCCTCGGCCAGGTAACGGCACAACGGGGGAATACACCGAGCACTTAAACTCAAACACGGAGCACAAACGAGTGGATTCAGGGTTTCTGACGTCGCACAGGTCTATAGATGTGCGGCTGAGGGATTAGCCTGGAGATCAATATGACTGCAGATTATAGTGGATGATGATTGAAGCACCACCAGTTTATTAAAACATCAGAAAATGAAAGATTGAACCATTTGAGAGATCATCTGTTATGTGATGAGATCATAGACAGTCTCCCACTTGTTCTTTGGCTCCAGGTGCCTCATGCTAACACCAGCATAAACTGCATAGCTAGGATTTAACCAAGTATTAAGAGTTTCCTACAGTTTGAGCATAAACCAGGCTTCTACATTACCCATTATGCAACTTTACTGTCGACAGTTCAGGCACAGATCTGTGTGTTATGATAACAGTGGATAATCTGCCCTGGTTGCTAGCCTCAGACGAGGAGTGGCCTGTCGGGATCAGTCAGGACGGGTTTGAGCAGAAATTTAAAAGAGTTCATTTAGGTTCGGTGTTAGCTGGGCTGTCATCTTGATTGTTCATGCTGCACATGCCTGTAATTAGAGTTAACATACACAAACAGAATTCTCTCAGGCTCAGTCGGGTTAAGACAGAAAATTGCAGCCTGAGCTTCACTGTAATGTGCAGGTGAACTCAATGACCCTGTTACGTCTCTGTTAAAGACTCCTGTCCACGCCCATCACTGATACCAGGTGTGGTCAGATTCATCGAGAGCAGTGCAACACAGATATTCATCCTGAAGCGGTCGGTTACTGTTTCAGTGGAAGCGTCCAGAGACCCTGAAGGTCGCTGTCTCTCTTTGTGTCGAACGAATCACCAACGTGCTTTATTTACATTCTTGAAATATTTTTGCTGTTATCTTTTGATGTCATCTGTACAGAACTTGAGAGGGAACAGTGTGAGTCACAACGACTGCAATGTGAACCGGAACAGTTACGCAATCCAAGCATATCTTTACAGTGAGACGAAGGTTTGTCTCCTACCTCAATCTAAAGGGAAAATGTCTTTGACTGACTGGAGGGTCTCTGACAGATTCGTTACGTGAAGGTCTTTCTTCTCCCCATTCCTATTTCCTCACTGCATCTGTGTGTGTTAAAGGTTTTTAATTCAGGCGTAAAAAAAAGTGTTTAGAAAGATGTGACATCCGCCAAGAACTGTACATGTGAAAAATGAAGTCCTGTTTTTGTAATCCTGATGAGGCTGTTCACCTGTTTTACATTGTCCAGCACCTTTTCTGTCCAGCTTTCAGTAAATGTTCCCTTTTAACAAGGGAAATCAAACAGTATTTAAGGGCATTTAAAATGTTGTAACTGTAAAGAGTTTTAGGTTGGATATAGAAAGGGACCCGATTATAGATCAGGTTAATTCATTATCCATAAAAATCATCTCTGTCGTGATTCGTCCCGTCTCTGGATGGATCCTTTTTTACGTCTCCTCTTATGTCGTCGTGTGTTTTGCTTGTGATTACTCAGTGTTTTAAATTCAGGCTTTGTTCTCATGTGAGACACAAATTCATCCTGAACAAGTCGTAATAAATAACTTATTAATTTATAGATCATGAGTCGAATAAGGAAAACTAAAAAGGGATCTAACTGTGGTCATGTGAGGTCTGACGTGTGTATTGTTGTTTGTCCTGCTTTTCCGTGAAAACCTTGAACGGGAAAGTGTAGCGCCATAAATTTTATCTTTTAATTCACTCACACGACAATCACCCATATCGCTGAAGCTGCCTTGTGAAGAATGTTTATTTCAGAGACGTTCTGATCTCACGGTCAGGAAGTACATCTTCATTTCAGAGGAGATACTGTGGTCGCTCTTTGCCTTGAGTCCCTGTGCTGCACTAGTCTGAAGACTGACGCCGACAGCTCTTCCTGCGAGGGCGAGTGATGATTGGCGAGAGATAAAAAAGAAACCAGTCTAGGCTTTTGAGATTTACGACATTCTTGCACTCAAATCTTCCTTAACTTGGACTGTTGTCTCATCACTGCCGCACTTTATATTAGTGAGTTAAAAAAATGAACTTCTTTGGGGGGAAAAAGTGAAAATATTTAATAAAGTCACTGGTTCAATGATGCAGGAAGTCCTGGTTTTTGAAATGTATTTGATTTTGCCATCCCTTGTAAAATAAAAAAAATTAAACAATAAAAAGAAATGTAAAAAGATGGGGTGATGAGCGTGATGCTGCCCAGCTTCTTAAAATTTAAAGAAAAGTAAATCATTTTGGAAATTCCAGTTTGTTTGATCAACATGAAGCTTGAACTTTTCATTGATAGTTTTGTTTGGACAGTTATCACAGTTATCACAGTTATCACGTGTTGAGATGATGATTTCAAAGCACTGACTCAGCAGCTTTTATAGCAATATTTCTGTTTATTTACATCAAATGTAAACATTCAACTCTTAACATGAATGTAAGTGTAGTAAAAGGCATATTTCACTTGTATAAAACACAGAATGTAAACTCTTGGCAACCTTGTGTGTGAATGCTGAGAAGGAAACATGAGTAGGGAGGGAAATCTTCACAGATGCAAAACTGTTCCTCCAGGAATGTGCGGTTTTTGGCAATGGAAATGGAAAAACAACTCTGTAAATATTGCAGTGTCATGATTCTAAATCTTGCTTAAAATAGAAAAGCTTTCTTATAACCTACATGTACTACGATTATCACAAAATACATTTATGCAATTCAAGCAGTAATCGCGGGTCAGACTGACGCTGATCTCCAATGGTTTACTAATTGTCTTTTTTCTCTTTACATCGACCTGGAGACACCGTAAGAAACCCTGCAGTTGTTGAGAAATGCTGGCACAAGAGTGAAGCAATTTAGCTGCAAATTCTGAACTATTCAAAACACGGAATTTCCGATAAAGTTGCTGGTCTTGAACCCTGGCTTGACCCTTCACAGTAGCCCACAGCATTACAATACATCAAGTTGCTTTTTTGCACGGTAGTCACAAAAATATAAGGTCGAAACTGTTATTCGTGGTTACATGATTGTACCGTAATTACTCGATTATTTCACAGAAAAGCAACTTACAGTAGCTCTTACAGTTACCTGACTGCCTATTAGGTAAGAATCATCAACGCACATCAAAACCATAATAAACCCGATGAAATGAATGATGGCAGAAAGGATGAGAACTCCTTATTAAACTGAAGCCTACTCCACATGAACACAGGTATTTATTAAAATGGGGGGTTTTTAATATATAAATCTATGTCCCCATGAAAATGCAAAAACACGCGGGTCGGCATCGTACCAAACCAAGAGGCGGCCCTATAACCCCAACTGCAAAGCCCTGTTGGCCAATCACAACGCTGGTTCCAGCAGGTTAACGACAATGACCTCACACTGAAAACTGAGTCACTGAACATCTTCAACCTGCGATGAGTTTAAAAAGGTTCAGTTTTCAGTGACCGCAAACCTCAGCGTGAACGAAACACCAAAAAACACCCACGTACGTGTGGGCAAGGCCTGAAAGAGACGATGGTTAAAAGTTCAGTCAGTCCCACTCGATACCGAGAAGCTCGCAGCTGACGTCCCACAGTCTCCTGGCCGTCTCCTCACTTCTTCCCTGTGGGGCTACGAACGCAGGGGCACAGTCGCTGAAAGGAAAGACGGGCGGAATGATTGTTACGTAAGCGCTTGTGGTGATGTGAGTCATCCCCCGACGTGCAGTGATCTAATTTTGTCTTTCACCTTGTGCGTGGTGTCAAGAATAAAGGGAGGATCTCTGCTGCCGTACAATTTAGTTTGACTTTCCAGTATCGGCCCGTCGGTCTGTAAAGACTAACTTCTGTAGTGACAACTTACAAGAAACTCCCGCCTCTGTTTTTAATGGCCATCGGATCGATTTTCATTTCTTGAAAATCTGACTGTAAAAGTTTTAAGTCTTATTTGCCTCATTCATTTGATTCATGGATTTTTCATCAATTACATTCCAGAATAAATTTTAGCTTTCTATTAATTAATTAGGTTTACAAAATGCTTCACGGACATAAAATACATCAAATA